CAGGACATAGAGGCAGACAGATCTCTAAGCTTGAGGCCAGCCTGGGCTACAGAGCAAGTTCCAAGACAGCCAAGTCTAAAGTCTACACAGAGAAACCCTGTATCCAAGAGAGAGAGAGAGAGAGAGAAGTTTTTTTAACTTGAGCTTTATGCTTTAGAGATTTGTCTACTTAAGAGATTATTTTAACTATTTGTTTGTATTTACACAGATACATAGATCCAGAGCTGGAGAAATGGCTCAGATGTTGGGTGCTTGCTATTTTTCTAGCAGGCTGGAGTCCAGTTCCCATCACCCATGTCAGGCAGCTCATAACCTCCTATAAATAATTCCAGTTTCAGGGATCCAGTGCCCTCTTCTGATATCTGCAGACAGATAGACAGGAAGATATACAGAAGCACACACACGAAAAAAGCAGGCACACACTATCATAAAATCCTACGAAAGAAATGCCTCCAATTATATTATCAGGTGCTTGTGTGTAACCTCCTCACAACAGCTCTGCTTTTAGTTATCTCCTGACACTGAAGTTCATCTGTAATAACAGTCTATCAGTTTTGGTTACACTGAATACAATTTTATGTGCATAATATAAATATATATAGTATCAAATCATACTGAACACATGGTCAAATAAGATGAAAAGTACAGCAAGATGAGCTAATTAGTTCAATATATTTTCTCAGATACACATTTCTAAGAAATCACAAAAAAAAAAAAAAAAAAATGCAACTTTACAACAGAAAGACCTAGCAATTACCCCTGTAGTCCTTTGATCACTCAAATAATAACAATGTGGCAAACAGGAAGGTATCATGGGAGTAAAGCATTGCAGGACCAAGTATAACATTTTTTTATGTTTTTGGTTGTGAGCCTAGCCTTTAAGGGCTGAGCCATCTCTCCAGCCCGAAGTATAACATTTTTTTAAAGATATGGATGAGGGGATACAGAGAGATGGCTCAGCAATTAAGAGCACTTGCAAGCATTTAGGTTCAGTTTCCAGCACCTACATAGTGGCTCACAACCATCTGTAAGTCCGGTTCCAGAGAATTCCATTCTCTTTTCTGGCCTCCATGTGATATACATGCATGCATGTAGGCAAACACTCATACACATAAAATAAAAATAAACACTTTTTAAAAAATATGAAGAACTGTCGGGTGTTGGTGGTGCACACCTTTAATCCCAGCACTCAAGAAGCAGAGGCAGGCAGATCTCTGTGAGTTCCAGGCCAGCCTGGTCTACAGAGCTAGTTCCAGGAAAGGCCCACAGCAATACAGAGAAATCCTGTCTCTAAACACAAAAACCAAAAATAAAAAATAAAAATGTGAAAGAAGTGATGAAAAGATTATAAAAGAACAGGGGGAATTCTTTTTTTTCCCTTCGGACAGGCTCTCTCTATGTAGCCCTGTCTTGCCTGGAACTCACTATGCAGATCAGGCTGGTTTTGAAATTAGAGATCCACCTGCCTGCCTCTGCCTCTGCCTCACAAGTGCCAGGATTAAAAGTGTGTGCCAAAATGACTGGCTGGGAAATTCTTAAAAGGTGAATTAAGCTCACTTAATTTTACAACAGAAGATGTTCTCTTCAAGGCAAGGAGGAAACTTAGAATGATGTGCTGCCTTTTTGTTGTAGTAAATGAATCCCAAGATACTGTTCTTGAACATAGATGACACCTATTAAAAACATGCTAACACATTATGGTTGTCCTTCTCCTTAAGGTTTAAATGTTCTATTATTGGTATAGGATTTCCTCAATACATTGCTTCTTTGTCTGACCAAATTGCAAAACTCCTTTCCAGCCTGACACATTAGATAACAGTACTGAGTCCAGTCTTTGTTTCTCCCCTCAAAATTAAGCACTGTGAGCTTCCTGTCGAATATAATTATGTAGCCTTACTTTAGTGCCTATACCTCATTTGGCACATTTGCTGTTACTTATTCCCTTTGGATGCTTTTCAAGAAATTCCCCTAGTTGAATATAAAGGATAACATTTTATTATGGTTGTCTGGGAATTGAAAGATAAGCAACAGTAACATGTATGTCCATGCTTACATAATCTGCCAGAATCTTTTCTATGTGAATGCTGTTTTTTGATCATTACTCTTCCCAGTGTTGTCCTCACTGTATTAGTAAGATTCTAATTTATTTAGTTAGGCATTTGACTCTAGCATGTAATGTACAATGTATGTATTAAAAAAGAGATTTACAAACTAGACATGGTAATGTGCACCTTTAATTCCAGCACTTGGGAGGCAAAGACAGGCTCAAGGCCAGCCTGTTCTACAAAGTAAGTTCCAGGACACACCCCCTCAAAAGACAAAACACAAAAACCAATCCAAACCAAACCAAACCAAACCAAACCAAACCAAAAAAAAAAAAAAAAAACTTACAACTGTAACTAATTTTAAAAATTTTATTTGTTACATTTGTGGTGTATACACATGCACACAATGTACACATACAGAGGTCAGAAAATAAATGTTGGGAGTAAGTTCTCTCCTTCTATCATGTGGGTCTTGGGGTTCAAACTCTGGTTATCAGGCTTGGTAGCAAGCATCTTCCCTGATAAACCATCTTGCCAGTCCTAAAATGATCATTTAAATAATCCAATACTCTAATCAAAACAGAGCAATTATTTAAGAGAAAAAAAGGATATTGTGATTTGTAGGCAGCAATGTAGATTCACATAAAACCAGGATAGGTTTGATACTAGCAGCAAAACAGGTGCAGCTCTTTTAAGAGGCCCTGCTACAGGCTTGGACCCAAAAACTTCCCAGAGTTGGGGCAGTAATAGATAGCTGGTACCTTGCTTTGAGGCTAAGCTCTCAGGAAACTGAGGGAGGAGGAGCTAGTGCCATTCACTAAGCTGAGTGCACCCCCCCCCACACACACACACACTGACATAGCAGTTCAAGATTCATCTTATTCCATCATAAAACAATACAGATTCTCAATAAAAACAGATCCAGATTTTAAAAAGATAATTCTAAGTGGGTTACAGTGTATTTAAAAATACACATAGGCTTGTGAGAGAAAAGAAAAAGGGTATATACAGTCACAGGTTAAAAAAATAGTTTAAAAATAATACAGTCCTTTAAAAAGGAGTAAACTAAAACAAAATTCCATGTAAAGATGGAAAATACACAGAGAGTCTGAATCCTGTATGTTATTGTATTGTCTTTAAACTTTGTGATTGTTCATGCAAGACCTGCTAAGAAACATTGTATTTTGAAAGCTAGATATATTTTGTTTTTCAAGACAGGATTTCTCTGTCTCCAGAACAGCTTTGGAGCCTGTTCTGGAACTAGCTCTACAGACCAGGATGGCCTCAAATTCACATCGGCCTGCCTCTGCCTCCCAAGTTCTGGGATTAAAGGCGTGCACCACCAACACCTGGCCCAACTTATATATTTGACTTCAAGATGGAAGTCAAAAGGTGTGTTGCTTTGGGGGATAGGTTGTTTTTATTTCTACAAGAAATGAGAGGCTATGGAATAATTCCAGGTTGATATAGATCAGGATTGATCAGAGAAGACCCCCCCCCAAAAATCCTGGCTACAGAAATAAAAAAATAATCCTAGGAAAAATACAAAACACATAACATGTATTTTACCATAAAACCATTTTAACCATAAAAACATTTTAATTAATACAGTCTATACTTGTATTAATGCAGATGTGTTACCTTAAAAGTTTATTATTTTCAGAGCAATGGAACCAGACACCAATAAAAACAAATGGCCCAGGTGACTCAGCATCTCAGAACACCTCTGTTAGTTTCCTCAATGTTCTACATCCAGAACAACTTCAAGGCTGCTGGCTGAGATGGTCCAGGCTTCACAGACTACTCCAATCAATACTTAACCATAATCCTAAATTTTCTCAGGGTCCCCCAAAGATGCCAGTGTCCCCAGACAGCAGGAAATAGTCTAGAGAAAGCAACATCTGTATTCCCAAAAGATGAATAATGGATGTTTATCTTTGTTTAGGAGGTTTGGTTACAAATTATTATTGGTCATGGTATAAAAAAAACACTACAACTAAAAAACAAAACAAAAAGGAATTAGATTCAAAGATCTCTTACTGAAGGAAAACAGGGGCATACAATATAGAAATGATGACATAAAAGGATAGATTATTGAATCTACTTTAATCCAACAAACAACCAATGATCTCAAAATATTTTACACTGGCATGGATTTTGATTTACTGGCACAAATTTAAATTTGCTATGTATGTTTCTACTCCTTTGTATTTATACACCTCACTTAAAAATGTAATGTATAATTAAGAAATACAGATTCATTATAGTCACCCATAATAATCAAACTTTCTACTACAGTCAAACTTAAAGTCCTGTTAGGTATGTTTTCAAGGTCATATACAGATTTACTTAGATAGATAGTCTTCAAACACTTCAAAAATCTGTAGAATATGGCATTTAATGTTTAATAATCAAAGGCTTTTCATGACGGTGAGACATGTTTGCTCTTGACAGCAATAATCTACTTCAAAAAAAGGATGATGGGCATCAAAGAACCCCCATATGGAGTTTGCTTTCTTTATGGCAAAAGCTAGCCATTTGGGCAAAGAAACTGTCCCTGCCTCAACTGCTGACAGTACTGTCTAAACTGGACTAGCAGTACACACACACACAAAAAAGTGACTGTTAAACTTTGCCAAGACAAGGTAGGTCAGTCCTTCAAAATCCCCTGCTTCTTACAAAATGTCTGTCAGATATACTAGGCCTGTAGGCCAAAGATAGATGCCCCACCCTTACAGAAGAACTTTGGGTGACTGTCCAGGCAGCCAGATGTCCTTGCCATTAGGTAATATTACACCCTTCTGGGTATAAATAATTAGACTTAAAAGTTTTTCTTAGTTATGATAAAAAGGTAAATTAGCTATAAAACTTTAGACTCACAAAGATAATATTTTCTCTAAATTTGCTAAATATAAAATGGATTAGATATTGGGGTTTTTTTGTTGCTCCCCCCCTCCGGAGAGTGCAAATGCAGCCCCCCCCCCACTACCACAAATTATGCAGTTGAATTTCCTGCATTTGAGGAAATCATAAGGATTAACACATCTGGAGTGCAATGAATAAGCCTCGCCCTAGGAAAACCACCTTCATGATCATGGTATCTCCCCTGCCAGATAAGTACTGGATATTATAATTGTAATTCTTACTTGATAACCGTTTTTGTTGTATATAATTGTATTATGTTAGGTTAAAACCTTCCTTTTTTATTTAGACAAAAGGGGGAAATGTGGAATATGTCACTGTGATTGAATTAATGAAGAAGCTGACTGGCCTATAGCTAGACAAGATAAGGTTAGGCAGGAGAACCAAACTAAGAGAATGCTGGGAAGAAGGAGGAGAGGACTTGGAAGTCTTGAGCAGATGCAGAGAGAAGCAAAACGAACATGCTATGTTCAAAGAAGGTACCACCATGTAGCAGAGGGTAGATTTAAAAAAAATGGTCAATTTAAAATGTAAGAGTAAGCTAGTAACAAGCCTGAATCAGCCAAGCATTTATAATTAATATTAAGTCTCCATGTGGTTATTTGGGAACTGGCTGGTGGGACATAAAAGTCCACCTACAGTGATTATATCTATATTTGTAAAAGATGCATGCCATAGTATGGTATCAAGACACCTTTATTTGTTTTTAGTTTGTCAAGATAGGGCTTCTCTGTGTACCCTTGGCTGTCCTAGAACTCACTCTGTAGATAAGGCTGGCCCCAAATTCACAGTTATCTGTTTGATTCTGCTGGGTTTAAAGGCGCAAGCTACCACTGCCCAGCAAGATGTCTTTATTTTTATATGGTTTAACCCATTAAAAATATAGCAACAAGTTAAACAGAGATTACAGGCACTATGACAGGAAGAAGTTAGTATGTATGAAAATTTGTATGATTAAGCCAAAATTTCTATGGTAAAGCCTTAAATAAGCTTCCAAATTGCAATTGTGCTACAAGAAAATAATATATAAAAATCTAGTTTAACTAGTAACTAGTTGCAACAGAAACTGGTAATCATTCTAAAAAATAATATGACGATGTAGCCAAAAATAATATCCTTAGTCCTAATTTTAAATCACTTTAGGGAATACAGTCTAACAGAAAAATAGGAAAGGCTTAAAAACAGATGTTACAAAGGTACAACTGAGAATTGCCAAGACTGAAACAAACAAACTAAAAAAAAAAAAAAAAAAAAAAACCAAATAATCAAGTTTTGTTATTTTGTGTCCAGTAAAAATGGCAAATACATAGACATGACTAAAAGTGCATCAATATTGTTACCAAATAATAAAAAAAAAATGTATATGGTATAGAAGGCTGTGGTGATATCTTGTTTATACTCTAACAAAGCTTGCCTGAGGTTCAGAGAGTGAATCATAGAGATCTAGAGGTCTGTACAGATAGACAGGAAGTGAGATGGTTGGGTGGAGAGAGGAATATAGGCAAGAGGAGACAGGAACACAGTCTCTTCTCAATCGGAGGATTTCAGAGCCTTAAGCACTCTAGTGGCTGGCTCCTCTGCTTCTCTGACCTTTTAGCTTTCATCCCCTAATATCTGACTCCAAGCTGTTATTGTTAAGACCTTTACTCTGAACCCAGAGCCAGTGAAAAAAACATACTCAGGATTCAAAACCTGAGCCAGTGAAAGAAACACTCTATCCCTGAACTCAGAGCCAAAAAAAAAAAAAAAAAAAAAAAAAAAAAATCCTGAGTTTGAAACCAGTGCCAAAAACACATACTTTGTCCCTAGAATCAGTGCCAGTGGAAGAAATATGCCCTGGCCTTAAAATTAGAGCCAAAAGGCTAAAAAGGTCCAGTGAAAGAAACACAGTTGGCCCTAAAATCAGAGCCATCTCTGCCCTAACCCACTAAACTAATCAATCCCTGAGCAGGAAAACTAACCAATCTCTGAGCGGAAAAACCTCTCCATGGGAAAACTCCTCCCCTAAGAAGTCCTATGTAAGCCCCTCTGCCTGTTCAGTTGGTGGCTTCCTTTCCCACCCTGGCAGAGGCAGGAATCCTCTTCCCCAAGGGTCTTGGGTGAAGATCTTCATTCTTGGCGCAGAATAGAACAATTTGCTGAGACATTTCCTAGCAGGACTGAGAAAGGCTGAAAAGAACAGAAGAAACTTGCAGGGATGTACCCTTAGGGGGCTGAATAAGCCTGCAGCAGAAAAAGTAACAACTTTTCACCAGAGCCGGAGGAGATTGCTACATTTCTGCAGAGGCTTCCCTTTTAGCAGACTGTAGCCAAACAGCAGAAGCAGCAGCAGTTAACTCAATTAGGACTTTCCCTTAGCAGAGTTTGCTGTAAAAGCTCTCTCTAGGAGAGGAGCAGGATTGCTATATCCTGCTGAGAGACTATTCTCCCCACCCCAGCTTCAGGTAGCCTGGCTTTCCAACAAGTCAGGACACCTTTCTCTCCAAGGCTGAGCTGTCCAACAGGGGCTCCAGCTTCCAGAGCTGCCCTAGGTAACCTGGCTTCCCATTTGGAGACCTTTCTTTCCAGGGTTGAGCTGTTCTATTGCAGCTCCAGCCTCCAGAGCTGTCCTATTGTGGCTCTAGGTACCCTGGCTTCCCAATAAGTCAGGGCCCTTTTGTAGTTCCAGAGCTGAACATTCACGCTTGCTTACATTTTGGTGCCAAAATCCTATACTCCAACTGGCTTACATAGACAGGACGTGAGATGGCTGCATGGAGAGAGGAATATAGGCAGAAGGAGACAGGAACTTGGTTTCTTTTTAGTCTGAGGACCCTGTAGAGGTAAGAACTCTAGCAGCTGGCTGTTCTGCTTCTCTGATCTTTTAGCTTTCACCCCCTAACATCTAACTCCAAGCTGTTATTATTAAGATCTATTAGAACTTGTGTTACAGAAGGCTCTGGGTTAGATTCCCAAAACTTAAAAAAAAAAGAGAGAGAGAGAGACTACAAAAACCTTCATGAATTAAGCTTATAAAGACTATACAAATAAGAATCAAGCTTATAATGACTATACAAATAATGTTTGCAATAAACACAATTTTTAAAAAATTCATGGGGATACTTGTTCTTAAATACAAAATCAAGAAGAATTGCCTTGACACAGCTAAGGAAAAGCACCTGAAGATCACCATTGATCATAATTTGAATGAGTATGCACAGTTTGAATACAGTCCTATTGTGAACACAACCAACAAGCTCTCATTAGGAGAAAAAGAAGCTTGTAGACGACTCAGTCAGTAAAGTGCTTTCTGCTCCAGTTAAGGATTAAATTTGGATCTCTTGGACCCTTGTAAAAAGTTGGGCATGAGGGATGGAGAGATGGCTTTATTGGTTATTTATGTGCAGGACCTGTGTACCCAATGCCCATGGACACAGAAAGGCTGTAAGAGTCCCTGAAACTGGAGTTATGAACATTGTGAGCTGTCATATGGGTGCTAAGTCCTCCGAAAGAGCATCATCTTAAAACATGCCATTGTTCCAGACCACATAACTCAGATCATTTAAAGACTACAAAGAAGCTGAACAGGTTTAGAGAAAAAAACAAGAAGGACAGCAAAGAGAAGTTTGAAGAAAAGTCTGCAAGAAAATGCAAGCAATATGATTATCAATGCCTAACCCTCAGACAGGCTTTTGAATAGAGATCCTGAAAAGCTATTTCCCAGTGCCCACAGATTGACAAGAAGAGAAGTTTCATAAAATTCCCAAGATTACTGGGCTATTGTTCTTCATAAGGGCTTTTTCTTGACTGTCCTAATGAAGAATTACTGGCATAAGCAAATAAATGGCAGATGTGTTAAATCATTGACCCTCTGTTTTAATTCAGGGTTTTACTTATCCAGGGTCGCCTGACAACTGTCCCTAAATCTTGAATCAGTTACCCAAAACTTGAGTCATTGATCACAATTTAAAAATTCTACAGTGATATCCTGCTCCCAAACACTGTCTAGCCACCAAAGCCACCAACATAGAAGTGTTCTAGATCTGGCATCCATGCCACCAACTAACTGCTCTGGCTTCATCTCTCCACAATTCAACACACCAGCAACCATTCAATTACCTAGATATGCTTTTTATTACAACCAGCATTCTCTTGATTCATTTCCCCACTTGGCACAATCTTACCCTTTATTAGTAATTTATTTAGTAAACGTCTTGATTGTGTATATGTATTCATGATGTGCCATGGTGTGAATGTGGAGGTCAGAGGACAACTTTGTGGGAAGAGCAAGCACCTTTATCTACTGAGCTGTCGTTCTGGCTTATTTAGTAAATTCTAATTTACTAGCTCTGTGCCATCTCAAGTGCCACCTATTAAGAGATGAATTGTGTCTTCAGATCCATTTAAGCCTTTATTCTCTGAGTGGGACTTCATTTGAAATAGGAAACTCGTTAAGATGAGGTGGTATCTGAGGAGGATCTTAATCCAATGATCTTATCTTTCTAAGAAGGACATTTGGACATAGAGATACTATGATAACTTCACGTGACGAAGAGACTAGAGTGGTGTGGTGGCAAACAAGCATCAAAACCCAATGCAAGCTGGGCAGGGTGGCACAAGTCTCTCACCCTGGCATTCAGAGGCTAAAGCAGAATTCTAGGCAGAAGGGTTTACCAAAGTCTGAGGAAGCATGACCTTGTTGGCACCCTAAGTTCACAGTCTAGACTAGGTTTCGGTCTTCAAAACTATAAGAGAATAAACTTTAGCTGTTTTAAGTCATTGAGTTTGTGTCTCTGTAATTGAAGTTCAAGAAAACTAAACGCCACCTTTTCTATAATGCCTTCTCTTAAATTTTCCAAGAAGTGATCTATTTTCCGAATTCCCACAGCACTGTGTTGTTTTGTATACAGAAATGGTCTCGAGTCTAGCTGAACTGGAACTTACTATGTGGCCTAGAATAGCTTCAAACTTGTAGTACTTCCTTCTCCTACCTTAGTCTACCAAGTACTGCAACTCTCTTCCCCCTCCTTCTATGTTTGCAGGACCCTTCTAGATGAACTTTTTTCTGGAAAGCAGAAACTATTGATGGCCCTCTGTATCTAAGGTTACCACATTAAAAAGTAGAAAATTATATTTGTACTAATTTTTTCTTTTTATAACTCTCTAAACAATATAATGTAATTAATTGTATAGTATTCATACTATATTAAGATTACAAAT